CTTGCAAAAATACTTACCTGTACAAACAAATACAGATAAGTATTTTGGCAAGAAGTTTCGTCTTGCATTTGTTTGCTAAAGTAGTAGTGAACGAACCAGCCAAAGCGATGCAAAGTGTAATGATGTTGATGGGCACTGCCCAGTATGTCGCGAATCCTATCACACCGGTCATAACAGACGTATTGGCCAGGAGTACCAGTACCGTTAAAGAAGGTATACCGAACAGAAACAGTGATAAAGTGCAAACAGAGCATAGTAGCAGGCTGAATGCAATGATAACCGTGGACATCACCTGTAACAGATACACTGAATATTCGAAGAATAGACTAAAGTGATTACTCACTCTGCAAGTTGTTAATGGCTTCTTGTTTCGAGAGTTTCTTAGAAGCAAGCTGATGACAGACTTGACTTCTCGGGATATATCAGCACTAGTTTACCATCGAAACAAATGAACGAATCGTAGAGGGATTGGTTTTTCTCATCAGTGGAGTTAAACTCATGCCCTGCTGCACCGCAAAAGTGCTACTTTTACTGTTCCATGCATTTTTTAAACTTCTTTTTAAACAGAAGACAAGCTTTCCGCCTTCTAACGGCCGCTACCTATCATTCCTTCATTTGACTATTTGTCAGTTGAAAAAGTTGTTTGTCTATTCTCTTTGTTTGATCTAATAAAGTTCACGCCATCCACAAACATTTCTTTCTGCTATTCCTTGGATGATGAAATTCTGTTATTCCTTGGGCTCAACACCGCTACATGACTCTCTATACTATTTTTGTTAAATAAGCTTTCGATACAAAAAAGATAACAATCGGTCAAGGTTCACCTGCAGGTCATGCTGGATGGAGAATGCAAACGGCGTTTTCACGACCACCGATATTCCAAGTGAACGAGCTTTATTCAACAGTCCCTCAATTAGCAATAATCTAAACTACCATTTGGAAAAATTAGCCGTACAAAAATCGATATCAAAACTGAATCGAGGATGAATACTGTTTAATTCAGCTTCAAGTTATGAACATAATCTCGCTAGTTTTCGCAAACATGTATACTTTTCATGTTTTAATCAGCCGCAGTACTATGCAGCGGGCTATTTGTCTCGTTGTCTTGACCAGTGCTGCACTGCCTAATGATATTGACGTCCGCTTTGCCTTCTGGAAGAATATCAACATATTGGTTTCTCTCGCAGAAACACCTGTCAAGCTTTAGCTAAATCGAGATTTCCTTGGTGTGCATCACCAAAGACATCTTGAATTGGCTAAAGTCTGCCTCTGGTGAGTGTTGAACACCTTAACACATTTGACTATTGCGGTTTAATAACTTAAATTTGAGACAAAACGATTGCCAGACTGCTAGAATGCTGATCAATAGGCCATGCTGCATATTAAATCAAAGTGGCTGGAAAATTTACCAGCTTCATATATGGAAAAAGACGCCGTGAACTGCAGTTGATGAAAATAAGTTCTTTGTTAATTTAGAGGAAATTATGAGCAATTAACAGACCTGTCTTGTACTCCTTTCGTGCTTAATTCAATGTACATTCTTGAAGCAATAATACGTGTTTGAAACTTGTCAAATAACAAGTCATTTCGATATTTTTTGTAATTTTCGGAGGTCAAAAAAACGACCCCTATAATGGGTACAAATGTGTCCTGAAAACAAAGTACAGAAGCAG